AATTCTTCTTCCTCAAAATGTGTATTGGCCTTAATTTTCAGATGTTCACAAACAATTCAAAGCAATTTCTTGCCACGGCAACTGCGATATACGCTAATTTATGCCAGTGTTCTTACACAGCCTCAAGAAGAATTTCAGTTTCTATGCCATATTTAGAGTTCGAACCGGTGAAAGAGCCTTAATCAACTGAATCTATAAAACTTGAAATCTCGATGAAAATACTTTGAAATTATCGCAAACTTAAAAATTTTCATTTCAACTCTCAAACGAACTACAAACTCAAATTGTATCAGTATAGGTACGCTGGATTCCTTTTTAAACCAGCATTCGATTGTAAAACACATATAAACATTAAAACGTTGACGTGTCTCGCGCATGTTTTGAAAAATCATTCACCTCTCCGCTAACGAATTTATTCTAGTTAAAGTCTTCATGCATCTATAATTTTCGCAACTCCTTCGAAATATATTTGTTATATCAAAAACAGAAAATTACGAAAAACCAACGTTAATATATTTTACGTCTTCTTTGGTCACTTTGATACCTCGTAAATGCTTGTAGGTACTTACATTTTGAAGAACATGCATTATAGGTACCACACAGTATAGTTGGCCCTTTCAGGAGAAACATACAGGCAGTTTCAACTACTACTGAAATCTCTTTAATTGCGTGAGTAGATATTCAAGACCAAAATAATAAAGAAGTTCATATCAATATGTGATTCCGGAAATTCTTCCCTAAGAAGTTTAGCACCTCACTGTTCAATGATTGATGAAATCAACCTCTGGTGTACGCACTGCATGCCTTTCCTGATTTACAATTCCTTGATTTTCGCCTACTTTGATAAACATAACATGGCGTGGGTGAATCTCGCTAAGTTCAGTCTGATGCCGGACCAAAATTACAGGCATCAATGTGACAATTGTGATCGAATTGTAGCCAATGAAGATCAATGAGCTCAATATAGATAGAGTTCATTGATGAAGATAGGGAATTCGTTTTGCGTTTTAGCCGCATCAAGGTTGGTAGAACTGATGTTGATCATAAGCCATCACGCCATCTAACATTCAATATGTGAACCCCACGTCATCGTCTGAAATTCAATTGTTCATATCACAGTCTGACGAAACAAATGAAGAGTAAGCGCACCAGAGATTCATTTCATCAATGTTCAATGGATATTGACTTCCATCTAGAATTCATTCTGAAATATCGAATGGAAATCATTTTTGATATGTTTTTTTTTCTTTTTTAATGTTGTGAAAACAAATCGCGGGAGATTTCAGTGAAGTTTAAAAACACGATGTGTGTAGGCAAGCATAAATATGGTATATTCATTAAGAAAAATTTACATTCGATTTTTGCACTTTCAAACTGAAAGTATAAGTATATTTCGATTATTTAGCTATACAGGGTGTTGCGGAAATATAATTTGTATACAAAATTGTCAATCAAATTTCAACAATATGATAATCGATCAGAAATCAGAAGTTTTCTCTCTTTATCTAACAAAACGACGCATTCAAATTCAATACAGAAAGTTCACACACAATTCAAAGATTACTCTTGCTCTGCTCAACTATACTGCTGATTGGCTATATTTAACAATGTATGAAAAAAATGCCGACATTAAAATGTAGATGGCAATATATCTGCATCACTCAGATCGAGTTACTGCGCATGGCAGTATTCAACAGATCAATAAGGCGGGAATTTTGATAATCTTATATGAACCAAATTATTTTAATATCTGTTTTTTTTTCCTGATTTATTTTTCGAGACAATGCAGTGTGAACAATGTAATAAACAATACAAGAATGGCGTATAAACAGGTTGAGTGGAGATATGACGGATACCCTACGCATCTGGAGATGCGCAGTAGGCAGGAATCCTTCAGATTGATTTCTGATTGTGGTGTTATTTTGTGATTCAGTTGAGCATATATTCTTTGAATTTTCTCTTCTATTCACAAGTAGTCTTACTATAATTTCGATAATTGAAACTGTAGTAATTAGATGTACAAGTAGAAATTCTAGAGGAAGAGACGATTCAGAAAAATAAATTGCAAGAAATTCTATGTTTTTTATATTATCCCCCACCTGAACATTACTTCAATTTCATTTTGTGAAATTCTTTCTACGCAATTTTCGCTAAGTTATTGAGGATTTATTTCGACCAGGAATATATAAGTGGAAAAGCATTTTCTCGATATGAATCTTCATCATAGCTCAGTCAGCACCAGATATTCCATGAATATTCATCGAATATTTTTTTAGGAATATTGGAATAATCATGAACATGCCAGGAATATACATACTTATATTCGATAGACTATTCCCTGGAATGTGCTCTGTTGGAGAAGAATGTATATATTCCCAGGACATTCCACATGGAATAATCCCTATATATCAGAATGTACCTATAATATTCTAGGAAGATTTAGATAATATTAGGCATCATCCAGGATAATTAATTGTACTTGAATTCGAAATCTGAAGTTCTGAGATAAACCTCATCCGATATATATCACCCTTTACTCTGTATTATGTTGTTGGGCTCTAATTTTTTTCTAAATGAAAAACTTCACATAACTTATATTGGACCACCCAATATCTGTCTCCATTCAATAGTCATTGCAAATTTGCAAATCTGCATCGCATTCTGTAGGTACTATATAATTTTCCAGTCTCATTATATAAATATGCAACTTATAAAAATGGAGGTAGAAAACCTAAAAAATAAATAAATGAGGGTGGGGTAATCTGTGGTTGAACCATGATTATTAAAAATATTTCCTAGCATACCAATATTATGTTCTGCAGAAATATTTGATCTGATAGAAAATAAAACTGATGAGGCAAAACAACGAAACTACGACAGAATACACTGATATTTCGGACACAAAGTTCAAATCATTCAGAGTCTTGGATTTTGCCTAAACATGGCGCAAGCGGATTTCTAATTACATATCATTATTATTATGATTATTAAAAATATTTTCTAATTTGTCAATATTATATGTTCTGCAGAAATATTTGATTGAATGGAAAATAATACTGCATGAGAAAAAACAGGGAAACCACAGAAAGACACTATTTTCAACACAAAGTTCAAATCATTCAAATTTGCCTAGGATATTGCATAATGCTTAAACATAGCGGATTTCTATCGACCAATAGAAAAGATGACATGCCATTGTCGTCAAAAATGAAGTAGTAATGAGTATGAGTATGGACATCCTGTCGGACACACATTCACGGCCAATAATTTTCTGTTTACTTTTATAATTAATATCCAAGTACTGCAGCGTTGCCACGCCTAGTACTTTCCTACTAGATTTAGTACCTTTTCACTCTGTCTAGACGCTAGTACGCCGATCGCAAAATTCGTACGTTTCTTAAGATTTGACTCGAAATATCGACATAACCAAAAGAAATCAAAGAAAAGTTCAATGTACAATATCAGTAAAATGTCATTATTGTCTTCCATCCAAACAAAGTTTTGTCGAGAGTTTTGTCCTTATATATGTCTCATTTCTGTAGTATACTTCACTATTGATTCATATATATCACGTGTCAATATTGTATATTGTCTTTTGTTAATTGTTTTCACGTTGCTCAGTTATTATTATAAATAAAAATGAATGACAGAATGACGATTGACTGTTTTGAAGTGTTTTGACCAATGATAATGATAAATGAGATGTTCACAATATTCAGTAAATAAGTTTTAATTATTTTTTCCTTGTCTATTTCGCCCTATCCCCTCCCCCCACCCCTATCCCTACTCAATAGTAGGATGATTGAATGAAAATCCAAAATAGTACTTTTCGCGTAAAACTACTACTTTTTTCGTTGATTTTTTAGGACATTTTGAGTTGCTGGGCTGGCAACGCTGTCAAGTAGTATTTTATCTTATCTGTTGTTTCATGCACTATTGCCAACTCGTCCACTTTATTGCTAGTTCTATATATCCATTTTGGAACCCCTTATTTTTCCCGTTTAGCATTCAGAATTTTTTTGGCTTTCATTAGTGTCAATTAAGATCGCAGCTCCAAAGTGGCCGGTTGTGGAACTATATGAAAGCATAGGTTACACTCGTCTTCAGTGAACATGTCGCGGTTGGATATGGTATGAGCGCTCTTATTGCATGTTCTCTGGAGACTACACTTATCTATGTTGAGGTTTATTTCCATTTGCTTCTGTGTAGGTATCATTTATTATTTCGAATTTTTGGTAGTGATTTAGGCAAAGAACTCTTCACTTTTGACTGTGAAAATGCACCATTTTGAGGTTTCGTCCCCATTCAGTATACAATAGTAAAACTAATACATATTGCAAATTGAGTGGGGTGAATATGATAATGTTGAAGTTCGCAGAGTAGGTATAGGTATGATGGGTATATAGGTACCTATATATTGAAGTCGATTCATCAAAATGTGTTTCTGAACGAGGAAAAGTCCTCAAAGCTCGATGTATGCGTGTGAATAATTGATTTACCTAGTAGGAAATATTCAACATATACAAGGTGTCCCAGAACAATAACTTACCATAAATTCTACAGGGTGAACTATAGAGGCCAAAACAGACTGCTTAAAATCCACTCTTTCTGTAACTTTTCACGTCTGGGAATGAAATGCAACTGAATTCAATTTCGATGGAAGTTATTGAAAGAAAATCTCAAAGTACCTATGCCATGAAAAATATTTCATAAATGTGAAACCCAGCAAAACTGATTCAAGATACCATTTACTGAAAAGGATTCAAATCCGAAGAATATATAATAATATATCACTAAACTTTTGATGAAATGCATGGAAACTTGAATGTAGACAAACATTCAATCTAGGTATACTTTCCCCTATAAACTAAGATGATTATAATTCCAACAACTACAAATAATGATATGTATCAACTTTTGGAGGAGTAGGTATATCCATCTAGTTTATCTATCTTTGCACCTTACCTGTACCTGTTGGCTGTCGGCAACATATGGCAACACTGGTTTTAAGATTTAATATACTTGTGTTTATGATTCATGTATTATCAAAGAAGTATTATCTTCAATCTTTAACAAATAAAACAAGTTTCATAAACTGTAGGACCTTTGATAACCTTTCTAGCATTTCAAGATCTGAGATTTGACTTTCCTATTGAGTTTCTTTACATTCCAACATCAAACATGAGTGCTCGTGCTTTGGGAAAAATTATTATTCAAAAGGTACTCACTGAAAATGTACATATCAAACACAAGTTAGCAGCAAATGTGAGGCTTCTGAGTACACCATCAGGTGAGTACAAATTTATTTAGAATTTAGAAGTAAAAATGTGAAACCGCAGTTGAAATCGTGAAATCAACTATGGTAAACTAGATTTACATTATAGAATATAATATTATAAAAATCAATATCCAATATCCATAGCCTGAAATATCCGGAAATATCTGTCTAATTGAGCGACCGGCATGTTAGCGAGCATGTTAGGTCATTTTTAGATCTGTAATTTTTTCCAGTTTTTTCCAAAATACTAAACTCACTGAGTAGCAATTTTTGTACCAGCTAACAATGAAATGATTGAAATGAAGACGTCAAATCAATAACCAAAAAAAAAATGATGAAAAAATACTAACTCACTTAGCACTTACCTACTTATTTATTTTATTGTCAATTTGGCATTCTATATGTTTGGCATTTAGTATTTAGTACTAATATGGCACTGGGCCACTGGGGGAATGGGGGCAACTTGTGGTGTGCTCGCGCCAGTAGTTTATTTTCACAAAAGAGTATCAGAACAGGACTATGCAAAGGTGTTGGCTTCATTCCATCCAAGGTCGAATATGATTTATGTCAGATTTATGATAGGTATGTAATTCATTTTGCTGTATTTTTTGTGCATTGTACAACAGCACAATCTGACGGCATGCGCGAATTAATGAATAGCCGAAAACACGATTCCTATGCCAAAATAATTGTAAAAAACTATTTTAATAATTTGTAAACAAATAAGGAACAAGAAAAGTGAGGTTGTGTTTCAATGTTTCACCTCCAGGGTCGGTCATCTGACAGTTCTTGCACGGAACCCATAGGTCCTAGATTTTTGGCATTTATAGGTTATGGTTCTACGTCTAATTTTGGAATAAATAGGTCGCGTGCAAGAACTGTCAGATGACTGACCCTGGAGGCAAAACATATATGTGTTTACAAGTGATCGAAATAGTTTTCCACAATTATTTTGGCATATGAATCGTATTTTTCCGCTATTCATCAATCCGCTAATGCCATCACATTGTGCTGTTGTAAATTGCACAAAAACTGCAGCGGAAGATGAAGAAATCCGGATGGTACATTATGATTCAAAAGTAAGTACCTACTATAGTCACTCACATAGTATTCATTTTTGAAATTTGGTTATTTCTCTGATTTCTCATCGGAATTCCTTCTGCAATAGGATCAGCTGATAGAAATATACCTGAAATTTCTAGAATAATGCAAGAAGATTGGATTCATACAATCAATCGGTAGGACTGGTCTGACATGCTGACGATCGTGTGTGTTGTAGACATTTTCAATCTATTAGCAGCATTAGCTTGTATTGCAGAAGTGGCAGAAGGCAGAAGGAATTTTAATAAGGAAAAATGACAACATTTCATAATGCTAACTATGTGAGATTACTATTTACCTGAAAAATCATATTCCCTAGTCTCTTGCTGCATTTTTTGTGCATTGTACAACAGCACAATGCGAAGGCATGCTTGAATTAATGAATAACGCAAGAAACTCGATTCGTATGCCAAAATATTGTGAAAAACTATTTCAACCTTTTGATTCCTCTGTAACCAAATAAAAAAGTGAGGTTGTGTTTCAATAATTCACAGAAGAATGAGGTTGTGTTTCAATATTTTGCCTCCAGGGTCGGTCTTCGTGCACGCGACCTATACTGTGACTATATATAGTCAAATAAAAAAGCTAAAGCGGAAAGCTTTTAGATGGTTCTTCTTATGGCTCATTCGTCATTAACGGAATTTTTTTGAATTTATCAAGCTAGTCAACTATATTTGATGGCTGCCCAAGATCGGCCGTCCGTCTTTCCTTAAAACAGTTTTAGGTTGAACAGAGATACAGATAAATTAATTTCCATTCGTTTTTCGACTGTTCAGGTATTTATGAATACATAAATGTCACTAAAACCGGATCCAACGGCAGCGTCGGTCTCATCCAACTGAACCGACCCAAAGCGCTGAACGCCCTGTGCAATGGCCTCGTCAATGAAGTGGGCCAAGCTCTGGATATCCTGGAGGCCGATTCCTCAGTGGGAGCCATCGTCATAACTGGAAGCGAGAAGGCTTTCGCGGCAGGGGCAGATATCAAGGAGATGGCCAACAAAACCTACTCGGAAACTTATTCGGAGAATTTTACACAGAACTGGGCTAGAGTATCTACCGTTAGGAAACCGGTTCTAGCGGCCGTTAATGGTTTCGCTGTGAGTTAATTATTTTTAATTAATTTCAAAAAGTTGCCATATATACAGTGTGTTTCATAATTTACGCTGAGAACTCCAGGATGTGATAGCTAGTGCAAAAATAGGAAAACAAGTTTCTTCAACTTACCATCTGTGACGCACCTTTTTCGAGATACAGGGTGAATTTAAGAAAAAAACGTTTTTTGTGAATATCTCTGGAACCGTTTATCGCACAGAAAATAGCTGTCGTAAGCGTTTTCTACTCACAATAATAGTTATTTATACACCAAGGCAGTAAAGAATATCATTATCACCCAGCGACCAAGGCTGAAGCCTCGGGATATAAGGTTACGTGGTAATAATATTCTCCACCACCAAGGTGTAAATTAAATTTTGTTCAAGTAAAAATACACTTAACGCCTTCAAAAGAGGCAAATAATGGTAAGTTCTCCAGCTAGTGGTGAAAAATAGTTATTTATACACCAAGGTAGTGAAGAATATCATTATTACCCAGAGACCAAGATTATATCCCGAGGCATCAGCCTGGAATATGAACCTATGTCACTATGAAAGCACTTCTCTTCAATTCTAATTAAAATAATAGCCATGACTATGACCACGACTATGACAGCATATTATGTCAAGTCGTGATTGATACATAATATGCACTAGATTCGAGTCCCATTTTTGCGAATATCGTATTAGAACAGTGAATTCGGGCTAATTAATTATAACAGAGGTGGCTATGTCATTATTGACTAGTGGTTCATAAAATGACGAAAACTACCTTTGTAGTGAAAACACACTTTACGCCTCGAAAAGAAGTGAATAATGGTATAGGTTCTACAGCTAGTGGTGGAAAAACTATGCTGTGTGCGGAATATGTTCTTCTTTAAGTCATAATTGGTGAATATTTTGAAAGGGTAGTGGGTGTTGTTCACCCAACTTTTACGCCACTGGAAAAAGTACAGTTTTGAGCCGCCTTTTTGAACCGCTAATGTTTTCTACACAAGGAAAGTTACTCTTTCAATTTGTTTTTTCAAATAGTACCAAAACAATTATTTCGAAAAATTTACCATTTTTTTCAACATAAAAGTTGATTTTACTTGAAAACTTTAGAGCTCATGACAAAGAGTACCTTTTTTGTGTAGAAAACCCCTGCGGTTCGAATGGGCAGCTCAAAAATTAGTTTTTTCAGTGGCGTAGAAGTTGGTGAAGGTAAAAAAAACACCCACTATACACTATACCCCAACAAAATCTTCACCAATGCTAACTAAAGCTGTTTTTTGTGCGATTAACGATTCCAGAGATATTCGCAAAAAACTCGTCAAAAAACTAGGTATTTTTATTAATTTCAAAACCATGTATCCCTATTTTTCCATATTTTTGGTCGAGCTATCACATCCTGGAGTCCTGCGCATATATTATGAAGCACCTTCTTGTATTGAAACGTGATTATAAAAATTAATTTTTAATCAACAGCTTGGCGGTGGTTGTGAGTTGGCCATGATGTGTGACATCATTTATGCCGGAGAAACTGCCAAATTCGGTCAGCCAGAGATTTTGTTGGGTGTTTTACCAGGAGTTGGAGGTACTCAAAGATTGACGAGAGCAATAGGAAAATCCAAAGCTATGGAGATTGTTTTGACAGGTAAATATAGGTTTATCCTGACTATACATTAACGTTTTACTTGGATGTTAATTACAATTTCATTGATATAATTTATCTGATCATGTTTGTCAATAAGATTCATGAACTGAACAGCTTGTTGATATTATCTACCTGATGACAAACAGTCTTGAGGGAAAATCATTCCATTCCACCTAGAATGCCAATACATAGGGATGCGCGAAAACAAAATTAGTCTGAGTTTGCGCATTGCGACTGCATAGACGTCAAATCTAAAATCGTTTGTCATCAAGGGGAGTATTATGAAGATAATAAAGGGTACATGAATTCTCCATCAATATCTCCAGGACCGTTATCAAGAGAATATAAAACAGCTGATTCAGTGAGCATTTTGCTGGAAAATTCCGCAAAACGAATAGTTCAATTTATCCAATTGGCAACAGTGTGTAAAATGAAGGACAAGCGTCTAGCTAAACCAGTGAATCTTTGAAACATCGAAGCCAAGTGACGTCACCCACAACACATGATATTTATTTCTCCTTTATATTGAGAAAATTCGACTACTACGAGTAAAGGTATGTTCATGCTTGTACGAATTCCGCAAAATTTATGCGAATCGCAAAATATGAAATTACCAACAGCATTCGACGTTCATATACTCGACATATGCGACAAAATTTGCCAAGGGAGGTGTTCCCGAGGCATATTACCTCCAGAAATTTAAGAAAAACACCAATTCCTACCTTATTTCCCTTGGTTCTCACGATGTTCTCTGAACATTACAGGATATCCCTCTTCGTGGGAACCAGAACATTAAAATACACCAAATTTCGTCGCTGCTGACCTACAACGTGCTACAACCTTCTCGATCACTAATCATGTCAGATATATAAACTTGAATAATTAGAGATGAGGAAAACAACCTATACCACAATATATACATAATATATTGATGACATTTACTTCATCAATTAATATAACATTTTCTCACCAGTTCACAGTAGGATCGATTCTAAATTGAGAAATATTTACCCGATATTTTCTTGAAATAAAATAACTGGCAACACAGGAAAAGGTATAACACGTCAGTACTTGCGCCACCGAACGCTATGTTCGAACATTCCATGAAATTGTAGGGTATTCAAATGGTGTTTTATGAAATATTAAAGCGCTGTTTATCAAAAAATTGATACATTCATGTTATGTTACTACTACAGGGGGAGTCGGGAGGAACGCACCAAGGTGTGTATTGTAGACGTAAACATAATTTTAAAAAACCCATATGTTCTAATACGATTCTCATTTGTTTTAATTTTGAATTTGAATAAATTTGTGGCGTTTCATGAGACTTTAATTGTATAAACTCGATTGTTTCCATCTGTTTCGTTGTTCTGACATGTGTTATTCGTATCAGTGTCAGTGTGTTTGACGCGTTTATTTTCGAGTTTGTACTATTGAAGTCTAATGAAATGCCACACAACTATTCAAATTAATAATGAAAACAAATTGGAATCGTATAAGAACATTTTTTTTTAATTATTTATACCTGTACAATACACACCTGGAGTTTGGTGCGTTCCTCCCGACTCACCCAGTATATTTCAATTATATATGCACATTTAAATTGAATTCACGCATCTGTGTCCTTGCCTATTATGAAGAGCCGACTCTTTGAAAGGCATTCACCCACTTTATAATTATTGTTTCAAATTTCGCGGTATCAAAAGATCTTGAACAACCATTCACAAAACTCTAATCCTTGAAAATTTTAATATTCTTCTTTCAAACTTTTCTAGGAAACCAAGTGCCCGCTCAAGAAGCCGAGAAAATGGGTTTGGTTAGCAAAATTTTCCCCGTGGACCAACTCGTGAACGAGACTGTAAAGATCGCCGAAAAGATTGCCAGTAATTCGCAGCTTGCTAATGCTGCAGCCAAGGAATGTGTCAATGTGGCCTTCGAGACCACTCTTACAGAAGGACTACATTTCGAGAAAAGGATGTTCCACGGATGTTTTGCCACCAAGGATCAGAAAGAAGGAATGGCGGCTTTCATTGAGAAGAGGAAAGCTAACTTTACAAACGAATGATAGTAAACTTGAACTGTACACAATATGGCCAAATAAATTTGTTATATTATTTTACTATATTGCCTTGATTCGATGAAATAATAATGATTCCCATTCAATTAGAAAAGCACAAAGTTATCTCCACGGCTTTCAATTTGAAAACATCAAATTAGGAACATATGCAATGTCCATCTTCAGCCTATGCTCAGAAGAGCATGGAACCCAAACAAGAGTCTCAGGCGTGACAGTGAGATACTTAGCTTGCCTTAGTGATATTCTTTTATTCTGAACTAACTGACACATTTCACATAAACTGAATCAGTTGACATGCATTGTACTCGTCAGACAGTCCATTTAGCCGTCATTGATTGTACAGGGTATCCCACATAACATGGGCCACCCCCTTATCTGGTAAACTATTATATATACAGAAAAAAGTTCAGAATAAAAATTGTATTACTTCTCATTAAATTTAATTTTTAGATACTGTCATTTATACAGGATGATCCATATGTCTGTGACATATCACAAATACGTTTTTTCAAATGGAACACCCTATATTTTATCATATTTTTAGATAGTCCTTCAGAAGACGAGTTCAATGATATATAATAACATGGGTCTGAGATCACCCGTTTCGGATTTATACACGATCTTCTTCAATAAATTGTCTAATTTCAAAGCCCTATAGATACGTTGTGGATGAAGTTTTCGATTCGCAACTTCTGCTATAAACTGAAAAAGTCTGTATATTATCATGTTCTTTGGTGAAAATTTAGGAATTTTGAATTTGCCAAAAGTGATGACGTATTTTGAAAACCAATAATTATCTCGAGATCTTCAGATGGAACACCCTATATTTTATTCCATATTTGCATAGAACTCAGAAAGACGAGTTCAATGATCTATAATAACATGGGTCTGAGATCACCCGTTTCGGACTTATACACCATCTTCGGTCAAAACTACATTTCCTCTAGTCCTCTTATTCGGTTTGAGAATACCTTTTCCTTTTGTTCGGATATCGTTCTCTATTCTCTGAAATATTTTTTTTGTTTGGTACGACACTTTGTGGAAAACGGTCACGATTTCCTCTCAAAGCCAGCACAGTATTTCTGTTTTTTAATAAATAGCACTCATAAAGATCAAATCTCTCTTCTTTAGAATAAATATGCATTTTGAAAGAGTTTCTCTGCACCAATTCAACAATAAATAATCGGGTTTGACAGTTATTGATATGACATAAACAAAAATCCCATCTATGAGTGCACAGCCTACTCAGCTCACGTTGGCATGTCATTCCACTTTGAGTTTTGGTTTTCTCTTCGATCATTTACTTATGTCCAGTGTTTATTCATTGATAATTCAATGAAAAATGTTGAACAGTATGAAAGATATATGATTTTCATGAGGAAATGACATTTATTGCAATGAATGCATCCGAATTGATGAGGCAGACAATCAAAAAAAATGTTCAAATACATTTTATTAATTGAATATTCCCGCATTGGTCTCGTATAGAGTCAAATGTAGGTGAAATTTAATTGTAATAACCTGTGCTCAATCATTTCCAAAATGTTTTCTAGTGAAATAATATAGTATAACATTACATAAAAATATCGATAATATTCGTTTATTTCAAAACTCTTTATTACGAATTGTTTCACAGAAATTACAAAATTTTTATCTAATATTAAGATAACAGTCAGAATTTTGCCATTGAAATTTGATTATTTTTTCAAGAAGATCGTGTATAAGTCCGAAACGGGTGATCTCAGACCCATATTATAATGATATATCATTGAACTCCTCATTCTGAGCTTCATCCAAAGATGGAATGAAATAGGGTGGTGTTCCATTCGAAAATTTGTAAAAAATTATCGTTTTTCAAAATACAACTTCACTTCACTTTTGGCCAATGCGAAATTCATAAACTATCACCATGGATCAAGAAAACATACAGAATTTGTTAATTTATAGCGGGAACTGCGAATCGAAAACTTCATTCACAACGTTTCTATAGGGCTTTGAAATTGGGCAATTTATTGAAGAAGATCGTGTATATAAGTCCGAAACGGGTGATATCAGACACATGTTATGATATATCATTGAACTCGTCTTCCTGAGCTCTATGCAAATTTGGAATGGGATATAGGGTGTTCTATTTGAAAATCTCTAGATATTTATTGGTTTTCAAAATACGTCATCACTTTTGGCAAATTGAAAATTCCTAAATGTTCACCAAAGAACAGGATAATATTCAGACTTTGTTGATTTATAGCGGAAACTGCGAATCGAAAACTTCATTCGCAACGTTTCTATAGGGCTTCGAAATTTGGCAATTTATTGAAGAAGATCGTGTATAAATCCGAAACGGGTGATCCTAGACCCATGTTATCATATATCATTGAACTCGTCTTCTTAAGTACTATCTAAAAATATGATAAAATATAGGGTATTCTATTTGAAAAAACGTATGTGTGATAAGTCACAGACATATGGACCATCCTGTATAAATGAAAGTATCTAAAAAATAAATTTCATTAGAAGTAATACAACTTTTATTCTGAACTTTTTTCTGTGTATATAATAGTTTACCAGATAAGGGGGTGGCCCATGTTATGTGGGATACCCTGTACATAATAAACGTCATTCGAAAGGACAACTCAGTTCAGTTCTAGTGAAATATTTCAGTTAGTACAGATTAGGTGTTTTCGGAAACTTACTCGGGTTGTTCGGATACCTAACCTTAACGCGCATAGGTCGCGTGCACGAAGACCGACCCTGGAGGCAAAATATTGAAACACAACCTCATTCTTCTGTGAATTATTGAAACACAACCTCACTTTTTTATTTGGTTACAGAGGAATCAAAAGGTTGAAATAGTTTTTCACAATATTTTGGCATACGAATCGTGTTTCTTGCGTTATTCATTAATTCAAGCATGCCTTCGCATTGTGCTGTTGTACAATGCACAAAAAATGCAGCAAGAGACTAGGGAATATGATTTTTCAGGTAAATAGTAATCTCACATAGTTAGCATTATGAAATGTTGTCATTCCTTATTAAAATTCCTTTTGCCTTCTGCCACTTCTGCAATACAAGCTAATGCTGCTAATAGATTGAAAATGTCTACAACACACACGATCGTCAGCATGTCAGACCTCCTACCGATTGATTGCATGAATCCGATCTTCTTGCATTATTCTAGAAATTTCAGGTATATTTCTATTAGCTGATACTATTGCAGAAGGAACTCCGATGAGAAATCAGAGAAATAACCAAATTTCAAAAGTGAAAACTAGGTGACTAACTATAGTAGGTACTTACTTTTGAATCATAATGTACCATCCGGATTTCTTCATCTTCTGCTGCAGTTTTTGTGCATTTTACAACAGCACAATGTGATGGCATTAGCGAATTGATGAATAGCGGAAAAATACGATTCATATGCCAAAATAATTGTGGAAAACTATTTCGATCACTTGTAAACAAATATGTTTTGCCTCCAGGGTCGGTCATCTGACAGTTCTTGCACGCGACCTATTACGGAATTTAAGTTAACCAAAAAACGCGGGAGTTTACATTCGACGATAACACTATTAATAAAATGATTTGCATGTTCGGAAAAATCACGACCGGTGATATACACGTTCTTTTCAATCTTCATAATTTGATTAAAGTAAATCATTGAAAAGAGAATTTGGGTAGGGGTGAAGTTTGTGGTTATGTGCAACAACACATATGAGACAAGTACACCAATCCACAGGTAAATATAAATATTTGTAATCAGATCAAATAATTACTTGAATATAATGTGACCATTTTCGTCTGTCAAATTCATGAAACACAGGAAAAATATGATATTCAATGTTCCTAACCTGACACGTTCGTAAACGTTGAACACGAGTAGATGATCCCAAGGCTATTCAACTCTATAAGGTTGCCTCATATTGACCTGCCCTGACGTCACTGTTTCCCCATCGTCTTTTGTCGAACGGCAAAATGAAAATGGCGGAGGTGAAAAACAAAACAAACAAATTTAGCATTGTGCAATCAAGTGAATATTGATAAATTTTGAAGTTTTTCAATATGTTTTTGCATCCACGAGATAGTTCACTGTTTTCCCAAAACATGCAGCAAGTACAAAAGACTGAAAACAGAAATCTAGAAAGATATGTTAGGTTTCCCAGTGCTTCTGTTGTACAGACACATTACATAAACTCAGTCAAATTCTTTTTGCAATATCACTCCATTAGGACTGATTACTGTTGGCATTTAGTGATATGGAGGTTGAGCTACTGATAAAGCATTTTTTAATAAAGAAAATGTTATTGGGAAGTCTGAACCTAATGATGGAATCATGGTGGACAAGGGCATGCTGACAAGGGATGTGAAGAAATATCTTGAAATTGATTAGGCCATCATTTCTGAGAAACAAGAAACAATTAACTAAAGAGGATTTCCTTCTGGATAAATTGAATGATTCTAACTCACTGGTTTTATTTCAGTATCAATTTGGAACATATTATTGTTTGAAAATGCAATAATAAGAAAATGAATTAATAAAGAAGTCATCACAATTCATTCCATTTTATTAATGCAATAAAAGTGCAACATAATGGAAATATCTTTGAGATATCTTCCTCATAACATTAACACAAAATGTATCACAAAAAAACTGGAATCTTTATGTAAGTTTTGGAGGAAGAAGAATCATACAAGAAAATCAGTTTCTTTCAAGTTCATTAGGGACATTTTAGGGCCATTATTCCCAACTGAATTTATCCATAATAAGTGTGTGTCTCTCTTCCAACTTCACATTTTTTATACCATCTCCTATCAAGAAATGGCATTGTTCCACAAAATGTTCTGAACCTTTACCTAAAATTTTGAGAAAATAATTCAAGCTGAATGTAATACACATTATTTAACAAACCTCTATTTGAGGACCTCAGTAAGGACACTTATTTCAATTATTTCCATGGTCCTCCTTCCTGAAAAATAATTTCATATTGAGAAAATCCTAA